GGCAGCTCAGGCTTGGCCGGAGGAGGCAGGCGCAAGTTCCCGGATTTCTAACCCTTTATCAATTGATGCAAACCTTCATTCAGGATGACTTTTTCTACCCTCCCGGAGTGTCATATTTCAAGCCTGACAGTTTTCAAGCACAGAAGGTTTGAATTTAGGTTTTGAAATAATACCAAAGTTGAAGTCATTGTTTTTATTCATTGTCACAAATAAATGGTAAACTGCTATGCAAAAAGCCCTTCTTTGCCGCTCTGAAATTCTATCAAAATACACAGGAGCCCGTGAGCTGGTAGTGGGCGTGTATGATCATTATATTTATATACTGTGGCCTGTCTAGTCGATGTGCTGGTAAAAGTTTTAAAACTGGTGCTCACTCTGATTTCTAGTGTTTGCGAATGTCCACCATGTCCTATTTTAAGCTGCCAACGGAGGACCCTGAACCCTGAATTGGGAAGAGATGCTAAGTAGCATAGCATTGTATAAGAGTTCCACTATACAGACACAATCAGGGTCTGCAACATAATTTGTGGATCCTAGTGCAAAATGAAAATGTGGGACCCCTCGTTAAAAATTTATTAACAATTTCATGATGATAACAGCAGGGCATTAAAGCAAGCATACATCCTTCCCAGTGCAAGGCCCCATGTGACTGCTCAGGCCCCATGCCCATGAAACCAGCCATGGACACAAGAGACATAAATAACCTCAAGTGCAAAAATAATAGAAAATGTAGTAAAATAGTTAGAAAGTAATGAGTTTTTTAAAAAATTATCTATCAGGTAGTGAGGTAGAATCCAACAGACCTGACTTTCCAAGCTGTTGTCCACCATACCCAACCATTGTTGTAGGCACTGTCCACAATTCATTTATTCATTCATTTATTTATGCTAAGATAGGCATATGTTAGGTGTTGGATTTGCAGCCCTGCCCAATAAACCCAATCTCTGTTACAACTTCCTATTCTGTTCCTTGTCACTGCCCCCCACTTCTCAAGCCCCCACCCCAGTCTCTAGAGCCAGATTTTATTGGGCAGGTTAATGGTTAAGACAAACTCCAGTTGTGATGACTTCATCCGGACCAAGTACTGGCCCCTCGAATGTTCCATTTTGTGCCACACATTGTTTCAGCTCCCTCCAGCCTAGACCTTCCCTAGAAGTTGTTGACAGTGTCTCTTCAGAATCTTCTGGTTTACACAGCTTCTTCTGGGAAACTCGTGGCTTTTGGTTTTTCAGATTCTTCCTCTGCGCCCTCCTCCTTCCCCAAATTGTGATGGGTTTATGGTGGCCCTCACAGAACTGCATCATGGTGATTGGGCTACAGGCATCAGATCCATGCACTGCCTTCACATCCTAGCTAGTCTCAGCTTCATGAGATCTAGTTTGTTCTGATCGCTGGGTTCTTTTTGCTGAGTGACAAATAGTAGAGTGTGGTGGTGAACTTTTAGTTAGTTCTCTCAGTGGGGGTCAGGGCCCAAGGACTCCTTAGCTGACCCAGTTCCACCCAGGCTCTTGCTGGAGGTGTTAATTTCTCTGAGATCAGGCCATCAACTGCACTCCATGTCCTTACTTGAAAAATAAAGGAACTTTGGGACTTTTTGCACTATACCCAGAAGCCTAGGAGAGGCTCAGGGGTGCTAGCTCAGACCTTCTCTCTGCTTCACTGCTCTTTTTCACTCAGATTCCTCTCCAATGAAAGCAAGGCAAAATCCCCTGTGCTCTCAGCTTTTCCCTCAATCTATCTAAACCACTCCCAGGATTTTAGCTTAGATATCCTCCTGACCAGTGGCTTCCTCTGCCAGTTCTTGCCTAAGTCCACCAGGCTGAAAGAGGTGGACTTTTCCATAACCTCCATTTCATGTAGTAGAAACTCTCCTTATGATATTATCTGTATTCCTTCTACTTTTTATTGAGAGCGAAAATCTATAACCTACTCCAACAGGACATGCTAATGGAAGGTACAGGAATTTAGAAAATCACTTATTCTATCCAAAGACTGGCTTTCAATACTTATTGCCTCAAA